GTGTATGTGTATGTGTGTGTGTGGCTGAGTGGGTGCGTGCGTCTGTGTCTGTATGTGTGTTTGACCGGAAATTCATAACTTCCTTCAAAACAGCGATAGAGCCCTCAAATTAATAAGTGATGTAGGTGGTTAGGGCAGGAACACTATTGATGGGTGGCAGGAAGTGATAACAGCTGATAAGATACCGTAGCGGGTCTCAGAAAGGAGGATCACCAACTTTATAGCGCAGGTCACAGCAACTGTAGAACGAAAAGGAAGATGGGGTACAGGATGGGAACACCCTTGGAGGATGACATGTCGTGGAAGTAAACCGCTAATCCCATCACCACTGTGCCAACGAGAAACCTGCACGCTATCCACTAGGCCGTCCGATAGCTGACGATGATGGCAGATCCGATTGTTGAAGAAACCATCGCTCACAGTCGAGCTTGTCACCCAGAGGCCCCATTTGCGAATATCTTCCACCTTGATTTCAATAGTCCCTCCAAGAAGACCCTTTTCTTAACACTGGTTAGAACTGCAAGTATTATAATTTACAGCGCACAGAGTCGAAAGCAATCCGCTTACGCTCGTTTTTCTGGTATTCTCCGCTCCTTTTTCGGTATTCTCAGAGAGGTCCAGGAAAAATATGACTACCGATTAGACAGTCCATGTAAGCCCCTACAAAATGCAAAGAAGGCGTTTTGAGAAGCGCTCTACGTCCTGAACGATCCCCTTAGTGAGTTTCCTCTGGCACACCGCATTACATGAATGTATTGGTTGGTTTATTCTCCTTTTCTCACACATTGAGGGGTTACATAGCAACTCGCAGTTTTGATCTAACATACATATTTCAGCAGGACGATGTGAACACTGCTGTACCACCAACACCGACGCAGGTCCTACCTTTGGCTCCAAAAGAACTTAGATCCTTTCCTGGTTTATTGAAGACATTGTCGTAGTGTTTAGCATGTGCTCCTCTTTTTTCGACCTAAACGTTTTTCAGGTGGACGACATGAACACTGCTGTGCCACCCACTCCGAAACAGGTACGGTTTAGACTGCTTCTGCTTTTTTCTCCATGTCGAGAAACTAACATATTGTCTATCCTAGTCTATCTAACGCTGAACCTACTAATTACTATAAGCTCCGTTTGTCAAATGGTTGAATGAGAAAGTACCACTCCATAGCAATAATGCTGGGTTATGGGAAGAAATATTGAACACAGGTGAACCTCGAACGCGCTAGTCACGCTTCACAAGCGAATAGAGTTGATGTTGTAGGTATGACAGGATTGACCTGAGCTGACAAAAACTACCAGCAGACAACAAATAACTGTTTATTACAGGTAAAAGGCACGATAGCAAAAGAATGCCACAAAGGCAAAAACCATACACGAGAAGCAAAGCTAAAGCTAGCAACTAATCAATCCACAGGCTTATATAGCGGGGCAGAACTTTCTGGAAAGGCGCCATCCTTCGATCCGTTCGGATCCATATACTCTCGCACTAACCCGCGCGCCGCGCGCACTCGGAATTCAAAACTGCTTGCCGTGAAGCCACACTATTCAGCCTGTAAAGAAACTACAAAAGAATAAAATGAGCAACTTCATGTTATAAAAATCATATTCAACAATAGGCTATCTGTTACTGTATTATAACAGATAGCCTATTCGCTTGTGAAGCAAATAGCTTGTGTTGTGGAAGCTTTCGGAGCTCAACGTGCAAGGTTAATCCAGTTGTAATAATTAAACAAGGTCAATGGAAGAATAAGAGCGGCTCGGTGGAGTAGAGGGCTCACAAAAAATCTTGATCCCAGGTAGGACCCGACGCACTCATAAAGCGCGTCGGGTCCTACCTGGGGCCAAGATTTTTGCCTATAGCTCAGCATTCTTGTGATAACTTCCGGAACGTTCACTGCGACATTGAACAGCAGTTACCATAATGAAACAACTTTAAACACTACATTTCTAACTTGGATCTCATATTTCAGCAGGACGACACGAACACTGCTGTGCCACCCACTCCGAGACAGGTATTCTTTGTAACGAAATATTTTTCTAATCGTAGTGAAAAATCACGTTTCTCACTTGATTTATCTTGTTACATGAACATGAAGCGTGACATTTGTTCTCTTTTCTTTCTTCATATCCAGCCACATTTTAGGAGGACGACACAAACACTGCTGTGCCACCGACTCCCAAACAGGTAGGGCTCACATATAACGACCCTGCTTCCCTGTTCGTAGCAATACATTAGGCTCCTGTCTTTCGGAGCTATGTTGTCCATGCCTAAGTGGTTGGGGGAAACATAGCATTCGGAAACTATTGATCTTCCAGACTAAGCCTTTATTACACCTTGATGACACTTTACCTGACACCTTTTTTTCAGGAGGACGACACAAACACTGCTGTGCCACCTACTCCGAGAGCGGTAGGGTTTACATATGATGGCCCTGCTTTTCTATTTGTACCGAAACTTAGGGTTACGAAAAGCTCTGAATGCACCAGAAAAAGCACCAAAACTTATTTCTCTGCCCGTGCGCTTTTGAAGGAATATTTTATAATGATTGAATCAGGGCATTTTGCAAATATAGCGGATTTTCGAAGTTACTGTCGTTAGTTTTGATGCAGGCTTCAACTCCTTTCTTCGTGTAATCAATAGTGCGGGGGAGATACTCAACCTCTGAATCACCAATGTTTTCAATGCTCGTCATCATAAGGTCATAGAAATTCGACGTCAGGCTCCTTACTTAGCTGCTACTTAATCACTCCCTACGCATGCCAGCCTGAAGGATCGAGATCCAAGCTGCTAGAAAGTCCTCGGTCAAAAGGAACCGGTTTTGGTCGAGAGGAGGTGGACCGATGTATCGACCCACCGGTAAAAGGCAATCCTGTTGGTAGATTAGATTTCTCGGCACGAGCAACTGTGCATAGAGGAACGTTTTAGGCTTCGTACTGAATGTTGATTTTTCCCCTTTCAGGCACATTGTATATCCCTTCTTTCCTCCCCTCCGCTCGACATCGGTTGAATGATGAGTTTATTACACACTGTGCCTGCAATACTCAGTACTCAATAGTCGTAAGAAATGAAATAAGATCCCTAATCTGTCCTTATCAACTGATATGACAATTTATCACCCGTCACCAGTTGTCTATCATTTCGAATGTTATCCAACACTAATGTAAAAAAAAAAACCAAAGAAAGTATAAAAAGGGACTTCTAGACAGCAAATAACTTGCGAAAACTCCAAGTGCAGTATGGGATTCCGATAATCCGGCGAACTTTGTACCGATTCAATCAAATCATTAGTGAACCGAAGTAACGCCAAAACACATTCTACCATGCAAGATGAATTGTTTCTGACTGCATGTGTTTCTTTCCAAAAACGCTCTCTTAGAAAAGTTGTGCAACTCATCAACACGAGCTCATTCAGCAGTCGACTCAGTAGGTGATAAGTTATTATATCAGTCAATAAGAACAGATTAGGGATCCTCTTCCATTTCTTACCGCTATTGGGTCAGTACTGAGTATTGCAGGCACAGTGTTTTCTCAGCGAACAGCACATGGTTGCCTTACCGCGCTCCAGGCAACAAACGCTCGATACTTTGCGGTACAAGTCGT